AACTGAATATAAAATTTGTAGTTGAGTCATTTCTCGAAAAGCTATCTATTAAAAGAATTCATATTTTTGTTAGCTATATTCTAAAGGAAATTGAGATAGCTAATTCATTTCAGTTCTGGATTGTACCCAGAGACCTTAATAAGACCATTGAAGGCCACAGATTATGGAGATATGCGACTCTAGAAGTAGAGAAATGAATTTAATCCCCCATCGGATGATTATTACAAAGATATTTCGTGAAGTCGATTATGTCCGATGCATTTCTTCGAGATTTTATGCTTATTCTCACTGCGAGCAGTATAAATCAGAGTAATCTATGAAATTTAGAACAAAGTCTCGTATACTCTGGTATTTGATGCACATTTTTTGTCCAGGCCCCTATATTGAGTGAAATAAAATAAACGACTTATTATTCATTTATCCACATCAATTTGTTTACGGAATGAGTTTGAAAGCTGTAAACACGTGTAATCATCGTCATTATGTATTAGCTTTGTTCTTAGTTTTAATATGTTGTATAATTCCAGATTATGTACGCGCCAGGACACTTGCAATATTCGTGAGATTCTCTGGATTTTTATCGGATTTCCTGGACTCCCATGGAATTCCTGAGATTCTCATAGGATTATCGGGATTTTTGTGGGATTCGGAATCTTGGGAATCCACCTTTTCCCCCTTGACTATGAACCTTGTTTAAAACATGCATGGCTTCCTAACGTCTATAGTCCTTCTAATCATTATTTTGCTGAATCTGAAGGTGACATGTATTGTTTTAAAATCTATCATATCGTCATGAATTATTTTAATTATTTATCGAGTAATATATTATATTCACATAAAATGCTGGTATATGATTACTATATTGAGTTAGGTCAAAACACCAATGAACAATAATGCTAAAATCTTGCATAAAAATAAAATCTATTAACAAACGAAAAAAAAATTATGATAGGTTTGTTTTCTCGTTTCACATCTGACGATGACGTTTGTGTCATAGACGTCGAAATGAATTCATTTCTTGATTTCTTTAGCTGCAGTAGTTTATTCCTAAGTATAATACTGTTGTTCGAGTGTTTTTATTCAAGACAAGAAGAATTGGTATCACAAACTCGTAGCGTAACGTTGTAACATAAAAGAACCCTAAATTTGAAGTACTCTTGCTTGAGTTGTAATTTACTAAAAAAGTTGATCTTCAAATGCAATGCTCCTAGAGTAAATTTTGTAGAACATCGAACGAGCTTTTCAAAGATAAAAAGAAAGTTTTTCTCTAACTATTTTTACTTATGTAAGAAAAGCAACAAACCAAACGTAATACTGTTACACTAGTTTTTCATAGATTGTTTTGTGTTTTTTATTCAATGTAGATTCTTCTGAATCAGTTATTTCAACTTCTAAAGAGACGTTTCTGTGACTCTTACCAATAAAGATCGCGTTGTCATCTACAGAGACTTTTTCGATCACTATTAGACTCAAATTTTCCTAAGGAAATACCAGTTTTTATCCAGCTGGGAACGGAAATCCGGCCTTCTTCCAACTGGAAATTATTCTTTTGGTGTTCCTACTGATAAATTTCTTTTTTATTATTTTTTTCCCGTTTCTTTATCATAAATCAACAAAACTCCGGTCGGAAGAACGTTTTTTTATCGTCTATCGACTGCCTAACCACACATGTTCAGAGAAAAACAAAACCTAAAAAATACTAACAACTATAAACATCTACTGTCAACATTTTATAGTTTCTTTTTTGTTTTTGTTTTGGAAATACGTAGAATAAGTACAGAATACCATCATTAAACTTAATCATAATCAGAAAAATCGAAAAATTAACACAAATTATGGATTTTTGGACAAAATTTATCGCTCAATAAGTAAACCAAAGATCAAAAGCAGATTTAAATTCTACGCAGTCGCTATCTGACGTTTGTAATATTGAAATTATTGCTGAATTAAATAAACTAAAGACAGTACCACAAATCAGATTTTCGTAATAGCGCTACGTTTATCTACCTCAAACTGAAATAATGTTGAGAAAAAACAACTAGTGCATGAGAACCACCGTGAAAAATTAATTATGGTCCACTAGTTTGTTTACTGTTATCATGTAAGTGGCTCACAGAAGTTTTAAAAACAGGTCTTTTTCGTAATGCTGTTACAGCAAAATTGATCAAGTATTATTTTGAGAATATCCCAATATGAAAGAAAAGACAAAAGTTTATTTTTTTGCTACAAGAAAAGTCGTATTCCATAGCTTGCAAAATATTTGATAGCGGGGTTTTAGAGCTAAATATTAAGATGAACAATACCCAGGTAGACAAACTTTTGAGAAAACGCGTTTAAACGCACAAAAAGGACAAAAAACGGGCGTTTTGGGCTCACAGTCGGGAACCTCAAGCGTGAGCCAAAAACGTTCAGTTTTTGTTGATTTTAGGCTAATTTTTGTGCATTTAAACGCGTTTTCTCAAAAGTTTGTCTACTTGGGTATATACCAATTAACACTTAATGTAAACATTTTTAAAGGTTCACAGAAAATNATCGAAAAATTAACACAAATTATGGATTTTTGGACAAAATTTATCGCTCAATAAGTAAACCAAAGATCAAAAGCAGATTTAAATTCTACGCAGTCGCTATCTGACGTTTGTAATATTGAAATTATTGCTGAATTAAATAAACTAAAGACAGTACCACAAATCAGACTTTCGTAATAGCGCTACGTTTATCTACCTCAAACTGCAATAATGTTGAGAAAAAACAACTAGTGCATGAGAACCACCGTGAAAAATTAATTATGGTCCACTAGTTTGTTTACTGTTATCATGTAAGTGGCTCACCGAAGTTTTAAAAACAGGTCTTTTTCGTAATGCTGCTACAGAAAAATCGATCAAGTATTATTTTGAGAATATCCCAACATGAAAGAAAAGACAAAAGTTTATTCTTTTGCTACAAGAAAAGTCGTATTCCATAGCTTGCAAAATATTTGATAGCGGGGTTTTAGAGCTAAATATTAAGATGAACAATACCCAGGCAGACAAACTTTTGAGAAAACGCGTTTAAACGCACAAAAAGGACAAAAAACAGGCGTTTTGGGCTCACAGTCGGAAACCTCAAGCATGAGCCAAAAACGTCCAGTTTTTGTTGATTTTAGACCAATTTTTGTGCATTTAAACGCGTTTTCTCAAAAGTTTGTCTGCTTGGGTATATAACAATTAACACTTAGTGTAAACATTTTTAAAGGTTCACAGAAAATTTTTTTCTAATAACAAAATACATTTTATTACACTTTCGCGTTCGTTTGACAACGTGGTAAAAATATTTGTTTTGATTTTTGAAATAAATACTTAATGCCTGAAGTAGTGCGTTACGTGGACAAGCCATTCAATGAATGATTGAAGTTCCAGACTGTCATATATCTCGTAAATCTCGTGTTGAATTCCAATGGAAAAGTTGATTGATTATAGTCCTCTTTTTTTATAACAATTGATTACGATGAAGGGTCACTACTGTTCATTTCAAAATATAATGTGCTTCATTCTTCTTCGAATAACTATTAATAGAAACATCATAGAGACCTACGGTTTTTACTATTCAAAGAGAGAAGACTGAGAAGCTGTTGAAGTATATCAAAATTCGATTTATCACCAATGGAGCAATCATATGAGTTCTTGATGGAGATTTTTGAAAACGATATTCTGAAACTATTTTCCTTTTGATTTAGCATTTTGATAGGACAATTGGATGCAAAAAAAAATCTTCTTTGTCAATCTATGCAAAGCCGATATTTCTTGCTGGCTCCATTCGAGAGTTATAAGACTTTTCTCAAGACCCCCATCGCAATTTCCGTCAATCAACCTATGGTTACTCAGAAGAGCAGCTAGGTAGAAGTAATTCACCATGCTGAATCAAAGGTTGATATTTGTTTTTAGGTTCGAAATGATGTGATTCTGCATGTTAATATTTCTAAAATTCCACAATCAGCCTCCATGTAACGAAGAAATCGACATTTCTGAAATATCCAGATAACAGAGTCAGATCATGTCGAATCTAAAAGTAAATATCGCCATTCAACTCAACACAACGAAATATCTCTACGCAGCTATTTTCTCGAGTGACTACAGGTCAATCGGCTGAAATCAGGAGTCTTAAGAAAAGTCTTAAAACTCTCGAGCGAAATAAGACAGGAATGTCGGCTTTACGCAGATCGAAAGAGAAGCTTCTTTTCTATCGAATTGTCTTTTCAAAAGTCTAAATAAAAAAAAACATAGCTTCATAATATCATCTTCAAAAATAATCTCCCTCCTGCCCAAAACTCGCTTCATTAGTCAACTACTGACCAATCAAAGTTCGATATGCTTTCTTGATCATGGGCCTTCTTTCTTGAATACTAAAAACACAGGTCTGTATGATGTTCGTATGAAAAGTTATTCACAAAACAGTAGAACACATTACATTTTGAAATGAATAGGCGCTTTTCTTGTTTTGTTTACAATTCTATTTTTATTTTTTCCAACAGAATCTAACAAAAGTCATACTCCAAACGAATAAATTCTCATTATTATCTTCTTGATTTGATGCCAAGATATATAAGGAGTATTATCAAACCTATTTCTGCAAAATTCAAAGGTAGGAATTGGATGAACAGTCATGTTGGTTGAACTCTACACAATCTAACAAAAGGCTCATTAGATAAACATTTTTTAGATTCTACAACAAATGTCTTCAAAGACTACTGTATTATTTTCGTTTTATGTATTGCTTATTGTACTTTTGATCTCCAATCAATACTGCAAACGTAAAAGTCTATCTTTCTAAATTCATTTTTTATTTCTTTTTTCAAGATTTGATTGATTATGTATTTTTAAATATACATCATCGTTGTTTATTTCATTCTTATTTTCATAGTGAATTTTGAAACTGCACAAAACTACATACACGACAAGAAAGAGAAAAAAAAGGAAGAAAAATATATAAACGAAAATGATTGTTAGTTTTATTGAAAACTTTTATCGTTCAAGAATTGTTGTTACTCCACTTGTACAACCACGTTCCGTTCGTTTCGCTCGACATTTAAACATTGTAAATATATAAGCACGTAAACTTCTATTCATAAAACAATAAATAATTGGATTTAATGCATGTGTACATAAATACAAATAATAAATCATTAAAGAACTTTTTATATAACGTTCAGCAATCAATATTGATGGTAAATAAAAAAGAACAAACGAAACAGTTATTAATAAAAATGTTGATGCCATACGTATTTGTTTTAAACGATGTCGATAAAGTTGTTTTTTTAATATAGCACTATTTGATATTAATGGTTGTTGTGGATGAGTATTTGGTAATGGTGGCGGTAATATCGTTGATGTTTCATCTTCATTTGTATTTAAGATTGATAATTGATGATCATTTGATGATGAAGCTTTTTTTATACAACAACAATAAAACCATTGATGTATATCGAATGTTGGTTGAATAAAATGAAATTTAATTAATAAATGTCGTGTCGTCGAACATGGACATGGGAGTTTATAATATGTTCCTGTATTTTGATTTAAATCAGCATCAAATGAATTTCTTATAAAAGATAATTGTTGTTTATCATCATCCGTTATTATATTATCGCCATGCTCGACTTGGAATGAAACTTGTTTAATATTTGAAAGTTTTTCTCTTGATATTTGTAAATCATCTGATGGTGTTTCTGATATACTTATTTGACAATCATTTTTTGGTTCATTTAAAACATTCTGATCATTAAAGTCATCAGTACTAATAAAAGTTGACATAGCATATTGTTGATTATCATGTGTTGATAAATGGTTTGATTCGATATGTGATGATTTATTTTTCATTGGTGTATATAATGCAGAATATGATGATATTATTGAATCATTACGTAGTTGTTGTTGATGATGATGATGATGATGATTTATTTGATGATCATGTAATGGATTAGAATTAAATTTATTTAATACATTTAAACTTTTTTTTAATGCACGTATACGAGGATTTTGTCGTTGTAAAGCAAGTACAAATGTTATTGTATAAAGTATAGTAACAATACCAATTGAAATAAAAAAAAATTTATTTGATGTATGTCGTAAAATTTCTCGTGTTGTTTCAGATATAATTGATGTATCAGCAAAACATCTTCCATTTGTTGATATATATGATAAACTTACATTTGTTATATTGGCACCAAATGGTATAGGTATGTGTTGATGTATGTTATTAAATAGATCATGGAATAATGTATCTTTTTGTGCAAATGTTATTGATATTTTATGAGAACCAATTTTTAACATATGTGATTCATTGGGTAAAATGAAAGCATAATTAGCAAGATAAAATTCTCTATATGGTGCAGAGGAAAATGCTAAAGCTGTTAATATACCTAATCCAATGCCAATTAAAATGAACAATGTTAATAAACACTAAAAAAGAAAATAAAGGATATAGTTATTTTGTGTTTTGTTGAATATATATTTATTTAAACAATATTCAATATAACTTGGTAATTCATGTTGTGAAAGTCTTGCCACAAAATCTTCATTTAATTTTCGTTTCTAAAAAAACGGACATGGTAATTTTCAAGTATCAGACGCTGTCTTTCAAAAATATCAATTTTAAGAGCTCAGAATAAGAAGTCGACACGTTTCTACGGCCTTCTCCTCTTAAAAAGTTATAAGCATCATAAAAATCAAATAAGATGTTTTTTAGTGGATTTTTTTAAATAAATTTTGTGATACTTTTTTATTTTCTAATGGAAGGTCGTAGGAAATGTGGTAATATTTCATTTTGTGCTCTTTAAAATAACATTGTTAAAAAATAGTTTCTGGTACTTGAATACTATATCTTGTCCATATTTTTAGAAGCTCTGCTATCATAGTTCATCTCGTAAAGATTACATTATATAGAAAACTTCATTGACTATTAAAATCACAATCTGGATTTGAGTTTAATGCTTAACATTATAGGAAAAAATCACGTTGTTGAATTCTTATTAAATTTTTTGCTCTTAGTATCTCATAGAAGATATGTGATGAAACTTTGTTGAGTGTTGACCATGCCAAATAGTACTATTCCAAGGATAGAAAAGGAATACATGAAAAGTTTACAGAATACTAATTAGTTTTATTATTTCCTTTAACTTTCGATGAACATAGAGATAAGAAAAGATATGCTTCAATCAGAAATCCTTTGAATAATCATATTCATCCTCAAAAGAGCAGAATAATCACCATCATCTGCAATTGGTTAGCAGTACCTTTACTATCGCCAAGTGCGTCATACACATTGTGTCGACGTAAAAATACTTTTGCTGATTAACTATCATTTAGAAAAAAACCATATTTTTGTCGTGCTTCGATAACTCAGTGGGTTTAAAGCACTGGTCCGGATAATCAATAATTGGTCATGGGTTTTATTTCCAGTTGAAACATATCTTTTCTTATCTGTTTGTTTATCGAAAGTCAAAGAAAATAATAAAATTAGTATTGTATAAACATTACGTTAAATATCATTATTCACAGATGAAATAATACTACAACTGACTAGTTCAATCTCGATATGGATTTCAAACTAGCTGGCGTATTCATAAAATCAACTAACAAAAATTGTATTTCAATGATAAAGAACAATATTACTTTATGGAATAAAATTTCGTATTACGAAAAAATAATTGATTTAGTTTTTATCGATGATAATCAGTCTGAAATATTTGAATATTGCACATGTGATACGTATCTTAAATTAGAATCGTAAGCAATTGAAACGTTTTTTGAAATAAATATTCTGATGCTTTTATGAAAATATGACTCCTTCAATTTAATAATGTTTATTCAAACAAGAAAGTATTCAACCGATAGAAACATTTACGTACAATAGATATCACGATAATTATCAGTTCGTGATAACCCTTACAAAATAAAATCTAATCCGTATATCCGTTCGTCTATCAAAACATTCTTTAAAATTTGATTATTAATCATAATGAATAACAACATTCCAAAGATTTCTCAAGTGTTTTCCAGATGATTTCAAGCTAAACATCTCTTCTTAATGCATTAAATTCTTTTTCTATGCTAAGAAAACAGACTAAGTTAGGTTTACAATATATGTCAAATATAGTTCTTTGATGATTTAAATATTCAATCATCGAAAACAAAAAAAAAAAATTCGTATTCGTATGACAATCATATAATTTAAGAAAACCGTATGCTAATGTAAATGCATATATACAATAGAACGAATTATCATGTAAAACAAAACTTCCATACTGTTTTGAGACAATAATCGATAATAAAGGCTAAAGTTTCTAAATATTCTTAAATAACATATTTGAGGCTAGACAATAATTGATATTTGAGCAAGGTCACAATTCTCAGTACATTTGGATCAAATAAAATTGTTCGGAAACATAATAAATAGGTCTTCATATATATTATGTTCTCATAATAATTTACTATGAATCAAGAATATTTACATCAAAAGTACTTATAAAATACTGAAAAAACAGCAGATGGCGATGAAAATAGGCAGATGCTTGATAGATTTTCCTTTATGAATAGTTTTATAATTAATATGGTGTAATTTTGCTGTGTCAAACGAAGTCTTCTCAATATATAAGATTAGACCAACAAGCAATTGACCTATCGTACACGTTGAATATCAATATATTGTTCAAATTATATTTCATATCATTCATTGTATCTAGTCATTAGTAGCATCTTAACATTCAACGAAAGATATAATGTATTTGTAACATAGCTGATTTAGTATCGTAAACCATCTATTATAAAAGATTGTACAGAAAAATTTCTAAAACGAACTTTAATCTTTTTATAAATTTTATTTACAGATGCTTTTTAAATGAAGAAATATATTGAAAAAATTTAGTAAATAATGGCGAAGAAAAAAAGAATCGTGAATTATGTTAAGAAAAAAAAACTGCGCTTTTTGTTATATGCTAAAAATATACATTAAATGAATGAACTTTCTGTCAGTAATCAAAGCAATTATTGTCTGTCATTCGCATGCCCATTTTCAATTGTGTGCTTAAAAGACATTTACAATTAAGAAATATAACAAAGCTATCTAATTTACTCTCGAAATTATATTCATATAAACAGCTCAAACACACAAAACAATTTTGTCATAACCCGACCTGTCTTTTTTTTAACAAGAACCTCAAAAATAAATTACTTGAGTAACTTCTTTCATTAAGAAACAACATAAAGGATGAATGAATAAATGAATGAATGAGTCAGTAAGAAAAATAGATGAAGTCAACTATAACAATCAAGAGTAACAAAATAAAATATTGTAGAATAGGAACTATCCATAAAAGATATTTGGATAAAAGTTGCATTTTTAACCTCCTCTCCTCTTCTCTAAAGAAATGTCCGATTTCGACTCAGCCTACCTCACCTTGGACGTTCAGTTTCTGAAAATTTTTAAAGAGAAAGTCCACTTATTCTATTAACGGTTGATCGGAAAGTTTTTAGACAAGATGTTTGCTCATTGTTGACTCGCTAAAAAGTATTTTTCATACGTTAGGATCAGAATCTTGTGCTCTTTTCCCGTATAAGTTCAGAAACTTTGTTTTAATATTTGTTCGAGAGTGGTGAGATAATTTTTGGAAGCCCCAAAAAATTAGTTTAGACGAATCTTGTTGGCTAACGTTTTCGGTCAACACATTTGTTCATTTTGGTCTGCTTAAAAGAATTTCAGACGAATTAAAAGCTATAGATCGCGATCAGAATTTGAATTCGGCTTAGAATTGTTGTATCTATTTTTGTTCAAGAGTGATGAGCTACTTTTTGAAAGATCTAAAAAAATGTTTTTAATAGTTAGCCAACAGTTTCTTGTTTATTTCAAAAGTCTCTTTTGGAATATACTAAAAGTTGTCGAAATCACTCGAGCAAGGGTTCTCCGCAGATGTTATTCGCCGAAAAGTTCTCTATTTACTTAAAAGTAATTAGCTGAGTGATATACAATCACTTCTGAGGAAAATGGAACCATTTTCAAGAACGAAAGTTAAATTTAGGTCTACCAACCAAAAAAAACCGACTGTACTCTGCCTCTCCCTGCGTTTTTTGTCCCTGAATGTCCTTTATAGATCGTCTCATGTGTCGGAGCATTCAAATGCGCACGATTTTTGTGACCTATAAGTGGGCCATCTGTATACATGAGCTTGATAAATGACACAAGATAAACAACTCACAGTTGTTAAAAAATGCTTCGAACAATGACGTGATAAACAATATACAAAAAAAACCGTTAATTATTTCGTTCAAAAATATAGCAGTGTGAATATTTAGCGATGATCTGTTGTTAGTCTATAGGAAAAGAGTTTTAAGACCTAGACTGACTGTTATAAAGTTTGTAATTTTCTATCCAGATTTATTCTATATACTTTAGTAAGGCATATAATAATAAAGAAAGAATCTAGCAAACAAAGCATGTTTCTATTAAGTATTATGAGGCCACAAAATTACGTTGTTTGAATTTTTATAATTTGCAATAATCTTAAAATATAGTTATTTGATGAAAAAAAAAATAATAAGGAATATAATAATAAGTCATACTAAAAATATTTTTTTCAACTCAGATTACATCAAATAATACCAATCAGGAAATGGATTTCTTTAAAAAAAAAACTAGTCTTATCCACATGCATGACTATGATAATTATCGAAAATAATAATAGAGATGTTAACAGTGAAGACTTTAATTAAGAAAAAGTGAAACAACAGAGTCCTTTTTTAATTTCACATCAGGATAAAAAATATCTTTTGTCACTTACTTTAACACGGCAAGGATTGAGTAATCGATGATGTGGAGCGACAATATTTAAAAATCTGTCTAATGCAATAAATGACATAATTAATGATGAAATAATGATAAGAATTTTTGAAAATGAATAAAATCGGCAAAGTGGTGTTGGGACTTCAAATTCACGATATTCCATTATAGCAATATTTGGTACGACAATAAGACATGTCCATAAATCAACACAAGCAAGAATAAGTATAAAGATAACTGATGTTGATTTTGATGAATTCCAACGATTTCCGTAAGCAAATAAAATGACTCCATTGCCAAGTGTGCCTATCAGCGACACAAGAGCAAAATAAATCATAAGACTAATATTTGTCAATGGAAACATTGTTAGAATTTTTATTTAAAAATGCATCTAAAAAGTCATTAAAAAGATTTGCATTTGTCAAGTCGCATTTGATAGTATTGTGAATACTTGTTTAGCCTTTCTCTTCTTCCTTTTTTTCTTCTGTTATTGTTCTCTGCAAAAAAAAAAAAAAAAGAATCGAAGAACAACGTACTTTTTTTATCTACACGAATGAAAAAATAGTCATTTGAGCGGATGAAATCAATACTAGATCCAATAAGATGATAAATAAAAAAGCTATCACCACAATGGAGATTCTATTCGCGGTCACTAATCAATATAGAGTTGTTGTATACCAAGTTATCCACTTGAAACAAAAAATGACAGACACCTGCTCGAGTAGATAGTTAATTTTCGTCATAACTCTGTTTTTTCTTCTAATTTTTATCAACGGTCAGATTTATAACACATGTGATTTGTCAAATTAAAAAAAAAGATTGTTTGTAAATAAAATAACAGGTCGAATTTTTATTTATACACTTCTGAATTAGTAATAATTAAACAGAATACGAAAAACTATTTTAATAAAGTAATAGTCACACATGTAAGAGGCCAATTGAATCAAGTAAGATTAATGAGTAGAGAAAAAGAATATGATTAAGCACACGTCGACCCCAATAAGAAATACATTTTTATAGAATTAGAGTGATGAATACATTTATTTAAATAAAATCGATTATCTGTGGACAAGATAACTTGAAAATATAATTAGTGTTGTCATCGAAAATGCGTCAGTACATTCACGAACATGGAATAAAGCAGAAATAGCCTTCATGATTTAGATATAATAGAACTAGATATTCAACTTATTTTTTCGCATAGATCGAAATATTTCTGATAAGTATTTTATATCACTTAGAGTGTTATTGCAATGTCGAACATTAAGAAATGCAACAACTTTTATCATTGCTAAAAACAGTAAACTAGTAATTAGATAAGAGAAATGAAAAACCAATGAAAAAAGACGCTCTTTTTTATCATGTTGCATCTGATTACATTTAGGTTTGAATCTAAATAGATACTTTTCATTCGTCTGATGCATTATTCAATTAAAAATAAGAATATATTCGAATAGAAATTATTACTGATAAAATTACGATTCAATATGAATAGCAGGAACTTTTGTTTACTTATTTTATATTTGAACAACGAAGTAACTAATTACTTAACCAGAATGCTATAAAATATAATAATAAAAAACACAGAAGTAATTCATAAAAAATACTGAATTGAAAGGAAATGTAGTTTTCAAAAGAATAGACAAGCCAATCAAATAGCATATTAAAAATAGAAATCACAGGCAATTCAAGACAGTATATTCTTTTCTTTTTGTTACCTGTTGTAGTGATAATTGAAATAGTCATAGAAGAACTAAGAAAATGCAAGTGAAAGATAGAAAAACATCAGCATTTCCTACGGGGACAATAAAATAAACTACTTGACTTTTACGTTGTTTTAGAGAAAGAAGATAAGTCAAAAAGCATAGGCGTAAATACTATACGTGCTGTGAAAAATAAAAAAGTCTCAGGAGTTTATTTTTCATTAAGATATATATATATATGATCCTAATGTATATATGTCAATGCTTACATTTTCATAGCAATTAGTCTATTTTCTTGGTTATAAATCTAGAATTTTTTTTTCTTAAAATTACACTTTAGAAATTAATAAAATGATACAATAAATTTATTTGTGGCAGCAATAATCAACAACAATACAGCAATGCTATCAACATATAGCACGACTCAATGTAATTATGTCTAGAAAATAAGAGAAAATTCATATTTTCTTTTAAATTTTTTAAATGTCAGGTCAGGTCAAATGCAATTACTTCAGAATCAAAAAACCTATAATCTCGACTATGTTTAGATTATCCTCGAAACTCATGATTTGTCACTTTTCTTTTCATAAATCTCATAGTTTTTTTTTCTCTAAATCATTATCTTCAAAATTGATTTTCTACATAGTCATTTTAGTTATTAACTATTCTCCATGCTCTTTGCTTGTCTATATGTAATATTCTTTTCTTTTTTTTATCAAAGTTTTATTTTCATTATCAACATAACAATCAGTGTCTTTGAGAAGAAAATCATAATCGAAAATTCACAAGAAAATAAGTATATCAGACAAGATTAACTTCATTATACTAATAACATATTAATTATCTATAGGCTGAATATTCTATTGAAAATGAATTATACGGTTTATAGAAAAAAAGACATTCATTACTTCTGTGGTAATCATAAAGCTGTCAAACACTATATTCAAGTTTATATTTCTGTTATTTTGTCCTATCTCAAAATACATGTATAAAACAAAGAGTTAACAAGCGCTCACAACAAGTTACTTACAGTTTTTTTTAAATTTTGCTTATGTAAGGGAATGGTTAAAATGTATAAGTACTCATGACCTTTTTTTTTCAATAAAAATAAAAATAAAAAGGAAGCTGAACCTTAGATAAACTTTTATATCAAAATAACAACGAAACTGATCATTAACTCAATAGAATACATAAACAATTAAATGAATATTATATCTTTCTAATAATACATTTCTAAATTGTATCCGTTTTTTGCTTATTAAATAACTACTTTGTATGGAATGCATCTATATTGATATAGAGCTTTCTCCCTTTTACATAGTTCTAATAATAGTGTTTCAAGAAAGTAGGAGCTGCCATAAAATATTCTAATCGCTACTTAGCTCGTTTCCAATAACAAAAAGAAGATATATATAGGAGCATTCGTTCAACATCAACGCAAAACAATAGAAAAGGAAGCAAAAAACAGGGCTATAAACCTTTGTTTCCATTCATCACAAAGGCGTTTTTTCTTCTGCCTGATTTTCTTGACATAAATCTTATATTATCATATGATCAATTAAGATTTAAGATGAATTTTAACAAAGTCATCTCACCAAGTAAATCAACTAGCAAACTATCTCTGTGATATGTCAACAAAAAAAACATAAACAATAACAAATTGCTTGAGTACTTTGTTTATTACGAAAAAGAAGTCTAGAGCTTACTCTTCGATAGTATTATGTATAATCTCCTCTGTGCATTTTCTCACAAATCATTCATAAACCAATTGACAGAGGGATGACAGACACTCTCTTTCAACATCAAGGAGTGATAGGACTTCTTACTAGTTGCTTATGATGACAAGAAAAAGTATCTACCATCAAATGTAGGATTCAACTAATTGTATATTTTTTCCTGATATAATCGTTTGCTCGATTTTTGCCTGCTACTTCTTCTTCTCTCTCTCTCTCTATTCTATTTATACGATGAATAAAACAAGTAACATCTGTTATGTTAACGTCCGACGCTAACAGTTATTTTTTCATTTGTTCTCTTTTTGTTGCGCAAAGCAAAAGTGTACTGGAAAAACTCGAAATTGTTTAACAAAACATTGAATAAGGGACAGTCGAATTAGTAAAAAAAAACAAAGAAAAATAATTTTTTCCAAATATGAATAAATTTAAATAATAAAAGAACAAGGAAATAGACGTGAATAATTTAGACGATAAGAGATAAGGAAATGAACTCTTTTGACAATGTGATGACAGATTCATAGAAAATCAACAAGGTCCAAAAAAAAAATGATATTATATGACACATCTATTCGTATACAAATAAACACAAGTATAAAAAATACATTACCCTTTATTTAACTTCTGCCATTTTAATAAAAAATATTAAATGTGATGATATTTCTTTTGTCAGGTACTTTAAGAGTTCATGCTTGCAAGATTATTTTTATTTTACATATACTCGCCTAATATAAATTGTTAGATTAATAATTGTATGCATTCGTTCTTTAAAATAAATGTAGCGTAGTATAATTGAAAAGAAAAAGTCAAAAGAAAACATTTTAAAACCTAACAAAAACATTAAACAAAGAAATCTACTTATGCCAAAATGTACTAATTGCTAGAACCATATGTTTTACGAGAAGATGAGAAAATTTATTTAATTATTAAATTTTGTATATATGCGCATATTTCCTTTTTTTCCAAATTGGCATCAATCCATAAATCTGTATATTACATTCAAATATATTCATGTTTAATCTTTATGTGAACAACTTAATCATCATGGAATAATAACTACGTGAAGTTTGACATACAGCTTATGTTTTTTTGCTCTTTCTCATGAAACAAGTTTTCATCTCATATACCAATACAAGTATATTAAGATTGATGTTTATTTCTTTCTACAAAATATTGGGTAATCATAATTTAATGATAAAAAAAGAGATACCCTTGAATTAATATGACAATAATCATTATATCACTGTATTTATTTATTTATTTTCTTTTTTTTTGTTGAACAGCTAGACTAGAAGCAAAATAACGAGAAAAAATCAAGAGAAATGAAATAACAAGAGAATTCTTTTTCTTTCTACAAATAAGTTGATTCTCCAATAAATCGCACACCATGTTCGGCAATGGGCACAAATTTATCATATTTATCTATATGAACAAGTAATATACATTTATCAATATGAGACCGTTGTCGTGCATCACGATGTCTTGGTATCCAACGATGAACAACAAGACCAGTCATGCCTACACTTGGCATCCAACCAGACCAAACATTACGCCCACCATTCAATCGCATTTGTTCATTTGGCCAAATAACATCTATTCGACGACCCAAATTTATCGAATCATAAATCTATATAAAATAGATAAGATTAATCAAATAGAAAACCAGCAAGGTTAAATGCTAAAAAAAGTTTAGGATTAAATTTAAATTCATTTTTATTTTTATTTCCGATGATCTTTTAAGTCTTATGTAATCAAAATATAATCACGTATTAATTTTAAATAAGAAGATTTTGCTTTCACGTTGTAAATAATGTATAGAGAAATATCTTATGATAGGTATCAAGGATAGACGAATGGAAAATATTTAAAGTCTTTCTATTATCTACTTTGACTGGCATACAGTGGCTTACACAATCAATCTGTCAAATTTATTTTCATTTTTTTCCGGTACTCTCAACGTAAAAAAAAATCTAAATAGTGATTTGAGTAGAGAAATTTTAAAGGTGAAAAGGATTGCTAGTTTTCCGAGCATAAAATTTCTGGAGAACCAAAACCCCAAATGTTTCATTTTCTAGAATTTGCAATTACAATTCTGGTTTAATGACTTAGAATAATGCAGTAAAATATTTTCTAAAGAATGAAACGCCTTTCAGCTGTCGACGACATTATTTTGACCAGGACGCATGAACCTTATGAAAGTCACAATAATAATATTTCCATACCAATTAAGAGAAAAACATGATTTTTACGTCTCTCCATAGGACTCAAGTGCCTTGCCAAAAAAAGTCTTCGTCGGCAGCTGGAAGACGTTTCTTTTTTCAAAAAATTGTTTATTCTCTCACTCTAGGTAATTGAAATAGAATTGTAATTGCAAACTCGAGAAGCTAAAATATTTAGTTTTTCACAGAGACCTTATCTTCATGAAACTAGCAATCATTTTTGTGTTTAAAAATTTAAACAAAACTTCATGAATTTGTTTTGTAAAGTGCGAAATAATAGATTATAATATGTAGCAAAGTCTGTCATGTTTTTATAAAAATTCAATGTTTATTTTCAATTATATTTTCGAAAAAGCTTATTTTTTAATTTGAATAAATTATCTTTGCAAAAAAAAGAACTAAGTTAAACTGAAATAAAAATGTCTATATTAAACTTACAGCTGTCGTATCAATAATAAGAACTTTTTCATTTGAATTTCCATTTGTTGAAAACGTAACAATAGATTTATTAATTTGAGTATTACTAGTTGTACATAAATCTTTATTTGAATAGATTGTTGTTGATACACTACTATTCATTGTATTAAAATTTTTTCGATTACTTCGATCACTTGTATTGAATTCTGTAGATAATGATGAACGTCGTCGAATTGGTTCATCATTTGTTATTATTGTTGTTGTTGTAACTAAACTATCTGATGTACGTTTAACAAGTACAGATGTTTGTTGATCTGGTTGAAGAACTTTTTTATTATTATTATTGTTATTATTACTTGAATTAATATTAACAATCATTTCATTATTATTATTTGTATTCATATTATGTTGAACTGATAGTGAACGAATTTGGTCAACTAGAGTTGAACTAACTGGTACACTAAATGATGATTGTTGAACATGTGTTGTTGTTCCTAATGACATTGTACGTCGTTCAGCAAGTTGAATAGCTTCATTTGTACCTGATGCATTTCCAAAACAATGAGAAAGAAAAAATGTATATGCTCTATTTAAAAAATAACAAATGAATAATATAAATAAAAATTTGTCATTTCTTCAACAATATACCGTTGAAAGAATGTTGATAATTTTTGTCTAATTAAATCCCATGCAAGTTCACCACCAATAATATTATTTATTGGTTTACTTGTTGATGAATAAGATGTTATTAAAGGTGATACAAATATTGGATAACCTATTTTTTTTATAAATAAAAAAAGCAATTTTTGTTTGTTTTTGGAAGTAAATGACGATAATTACCAATCGGTTGATCTGATGATGAATTAATCATATTTCGAAGAACTTGTTTAGCATTTTGAATTGAACCACGTTCAGGATTACGATTACGTAAAAATATTAATTCATGTTGTTGTGATGCCCAAAAACCTCGTACGCATTCTTTAGAAACTTTAACAATACGAAATGATAAATGACGTCGATCTAGCATAACTATTCGATATTCATCAATACTTTCAACAAGTGCTCGTCTAAAAATATCATATATAAATATAAAAAATATTTTAAAGCGATTAAAGCATTACCTTAGTGCTAATAATGATGGTTTATTTGATAAAATTGCATTTCGCCATTCAGGTGATGCTTCATGAGTTATTACAAGATTAGCATCATTTTGAGCTAAATACATATCATCATTAAAAATTTAATTATTTAAGATAAATAACGAGATTGAGGCATCAGATTTATTTTATAGCTTATTTATATAGTTATTCATTTTCTCTACTTTGATATATCTTAGAGAATATTGTTCAATAAGGACTAAAGCAAGAAGGTTCGATATCCTGATGGCAAGAACAGGATTATTGATTTTGTTTAGAGCTAGGAGGGGGAGGGGTAGAGTTCCTCAGGTTGGTCTCGGACTTGATAGGCTATATCCCACAGATCTCTCAGACGATTCCACTGAAAAATATGTAGGATGCACTAATCATCAAATATCAAAAACCAACAAAAAGTATCTCATATCTTTGGGATAGCTATACAATTCTGGTTACAAAATTTAATCGAAAGGATCAAAGAACGATTCGTTCAGGTCCCGAGTTCAAAAATTTTGAACTCAGTCTTGCCCACCACAGACAACCTGTCACTAGACCGTCTATGGGTCGATCCTATTCACCTTGCAGGACATTGTCTGCTTCTTTTTATTTCATTTTCTTCCAGAGAAAATAAATTGTTTTAAACTCGGGTATCCAGTGAAAATTTGGAAGCAAGTTGCACATTCTTGGAGGGACTCTCCTAATCGAGAATTCTGGATAAAAATTCATTCTGTCAAAATCGTTCTTTTTATCTATAGTTGCAAACAATTTGACGAGCTAATGGATGATGCAAAAGTTCTACACTAATTTTATTTTCAATATAATGTGACAAGTAATCGTTGTAAAGACTTGATAATTTTCTTATTAGGGCCTCTATCACAAAACTGTGCCGAAATATTTGCTTGAAAATATTAACCGAAGGTAAAAAAAGTTTTAAGAACCTGTTTGGCTAGAAAACTGCCGTGATAAGAAGTGTATTTGATTGATTTGTCTTGTCTTCGGCTATCGAAATTTTTGGACACGTTGTATATGACTGTAACTAAAGCGATACGAGTTTGGAAGTCCTATCAAATTATTCGAGTTAGTAAATCATAGATTCTATGGGAAACAATTTTGTTAAAAACTTGATTTTTCCACTGAAGCTTCAATAAAGTTTTTCTGAGAGTTCACTAAGCTCTAATTGGATATATAATATGGAGTTAACACTAACTTCGATTACTGGAAAAAAATCTTATTTTTCTAAATCACTTTTTAGTTGTGAACACTTTTTGCAGGCACAAAGATGTTAGAAAAATGTTGATTGGAAGAAAGACCAAATTTCTTAGTAGATGGAAGTTTTCTTATAAATTCCAGAGATATATAGAGAACTCTTCATTAAGTGTTTCGAACGAAGTATTTTTACACAACTTTGTAGTAGACACTGTAACAGGAAAATCATCGAGTCTCCACAATGAGTTGTTGTCACGCTATATTGAATGCAAAATTAATGCAGAATATTTGCACCGTTTTTTAATTTCGTGCGCTTTTAGAATACAAATAGTTCAAATACATTTATATTATCAAGAGTAATTTATTACGGATTTTTTATATGTTTGATTATAAATTTTCCTATCAAGAAAAGTAGTACAGCATTCAATATGGAATAAACTAATAATAACGATATTAAAAGTTGATTTTTACATATATGTTCACATAAAACAAGATTGACCATTGGCCATATAGTACAAAGTATCGATCCAAAATTCAATTTAATAAAAAACATTTTGCCAGCAAAGAATCAGTATTCATAACATGAGTTCTTCAAATATATGACAAGAGAACTTCTTCCAATATTAAATCACTTCGAGATGAGTTTTATCTTATTAGGTAGGTTCTATTGAAACTAGAAAAATATTCGAAGAATTTTCTTCCATGGATCTTCCTTCGCAAATCATAACTATTTTAGTCAGTGTTTTACTCTTCCTCGAACGATCTTTCAAAATCAACGTTCAGTTTTTGAGTTCGAATTTTGCACAAATACACTCTTCAAGAAGACTAGTACGTTGTGAAAATTTTAGATGTTTTGATATCTCCTATCTTCAAGTACTAATATTGAAAATTCTTTTATGCGAAAAAAACAAATTTTGTTCTTATATTTGTGTACCAAGATCAAAGAGACAAGAAAGTCTAATACTTTCACAATAAACTAGCTCCATTAATAAGTTAGCTTTTACAAATTTAAAACTCAGAATTTGGCAGTCGGTTTTCATATATACCAAATGTCAGGGAAACTGTGGAATGTATCAATAGATAAGAATACAGTTGAGAAAAAAAACATGAATTATTGCATCAAAGCAAGACAGACAGTAAAGAAAGAAAGCAAGAGAAAAGACTAGTCAAAGTATCTGACAGAAAGAAAGATAACAAATATATATGGATAATACATTTAACAGATTTGTTTTATGGCATGTCTTTGGTACGTGTCATAAGTCTGCACATCTTTAGTACAATCTTAATAAGGTCTATCTAATAAGGTAAGACTCATCTCAAAAAATGTTTTATCAATTGTCAAAATTCTGTCATAAGGACAAATATGAGAATTATGTTTCGAGGAAAAGACAATTCTATTGTTCAAACTCTTTTTTTTAAGGTTAACTTAAAGGTGATTATAAGATTTTAATTACAGAACCGAATACATGTAGACTTGTAATGATAGAGTTCCTCTATTTAATCGTCTGTGTATTGTCAGGCTCGCCTACTAATCTTGCATATGTCTCGCTCTGTGGTTCAAATCATATAGTCTCGTTTCCTTTCGAAATAATATACGAAGTATTTGAAATCTTACCAATATCATCATATAATTTTTCGTTGTCAAGATATTCGGACATTTCAAGAAATGAATCCTAAAGAGACAACATTGTTTTAATTATTTCTATTAATAGTTTCAAAAAAAAAGTATCACTTGATTAAGTTTTAATGACATTCGAACACCTTGTGCAACAACATTTTTTAATAAGGACATATCAGCAAATGCCCATTCATCTTTATGCGCAAGACGAAAATCACCTTTAAATAATGAATAAAATCCATGAACAAAATTTTCATGATAAATTTCAAGTAAAACTGTATGACTATAAAGAAAAAAAATAATATTAAATATTCTTAAACGATAATCTAATCTTACTGTGAAGGTAATGAACTAAATAAAGTTCGACGTGCAAGTAATGAAAGAATAAAACAAAATGTTATTAAATCATCTTCTTGTAATGATGATAAAGGCTATTAAAATATGCAACAAATTTGTATTTAGATGAAAATTGTCACATGACAAAAAAAAGAAACTTTACTATTTGTCTTTTATTATTACATAAATTAATCCATGATCCATATACAAATGTAAACGTTTTTTTGGTTACACCACCGGCTCCAACTTTAAAATCGTCATCAAATAAAGTTGTAAATGATGGATCCACATCAACTTGATCAGGATCAACAAATTGCATCATTGCTTGTCGAATTTGTTCATTTTCAAGCCAATTAACAAGTTGACCTGAACGAATAGCATAAAAAATAACTGCCTAGAAAATTTTAAAAATCAAACAAAATTTTAAAAAAGACAAAAAAAAATATATTATACTTTAATCATTAATGATATAAGTCGTTTACGTAAATCATAACCAACAACAGTTTCATTAAATTTATTTTCTTTTATGCTATAACCATCCACAACAAATTTTAAACAAATAACTTCCCAAGCAAGCCATCGTTGTGTAAATGCAGCATTAAGTGAAAGCATATGAGGAAAACGACCGGCTTCACAACAACATAAACCACGATTTTTATCTATATCTTCTGTTATTGCTTCAACTTCACGTTGTTGACAATATGTACCTTATTATTATCAAATAAATTTTAACTAAATTAGAAAAACAAAAAGGAATTGTTTATTCTATTTACCTTTAAATTCTAAACCACGAAGTTGAAATGTTATGAAACCATTACCAATTTCAATAAGATGAATCATACAATTTAAACTGTCACTTGTTAATATAAAAAAATCGCCTGTGTTAACTTTACCAAGACCTAAAAATATTTTCAGTTCTTTATAATCAGCATTTTCCTAATGTTGAATTAATTCATGTTATTTATTTAATTATTTGAAACTTATTTTATGTTTTTCAAAGATAAATATAGTGAGTACAAGTTTTAAGTCGAGGTTCTGCAACCTACTCTTCCATAGCAACCAGGAAGCAACAGTCATTGTGCATGTTTTCATTGCAACCAAGAACAACAGGTGTCAGACTCCTTCCCTGGAATCGCTTAGCAATAGACAAAAGTGCTAAGCAGTATTAACAACAATACTTACGAGGGAAATCCCAAACGAAACGAATAAGGATACCTAGGTCTATCCTGCAAAGTTACAACAATTTCACTGAAATTTTAGCCCATAGATAGGTTTTCTTGTAACTACATAGAATGTTCTGAAAATTTCGGCTCCAAATATTGAAGTCCCAAAATAAAACATGATATTCTCGAATTTCTCGTGGAATATGAGTGATTTTTAGACAATTCAATATCTCGTGAAGGAAAACATTGTTTGAAGCTGAAATTTTCAAGACATTCTAGCTACAAGTAGACTTATCTATAGACTGAAGCTGCAGAAAAAATGGCTACAATTTTGTAGGAAAGGTTTAGAAGCCCTTAGCGTTTTGAGGTTTTTAATACCTGATCGGAGTTTACTTAATAGAGAGAGTCCGAGTTGAAAAGCAACTTTCAAGTTGGATAGATTCCATTATTAGACTGTTCTAGAACATTCCAAAGCCCTCCTCGGTATCCAAATGGCTGGAGTACGTTTGTCAATGCCTTCAAAAGTGTAGTTTTCGATTTTTGTTTTGCAGATAAAATGTATATTCAACACGCCAAGGATGGTGAATTCAAAAACCAACAAAGCAAACAAGAACCTGGATGTAATTAAACAAATTCTGTTCGATATGTAGAAATTAATAATATATATTGCTACTCTGACGATTGATTATCCTTGGAAAAACAACTCCTCTGCTAGAGATTTTTCATTTAATGTATTTTGTATTCATATAATGATGCTAAAGAACACATGTGAGTTCCACATTTTAGCTCCATTACAGCTGAGTTGACAAGATTTTTCATAGATTTTTCTAATCGTTTTTCTTTGTAATTTAACTACATGACTTTTATTAAAAATGTTTCAATACATACGTCCAAGTTGAATTTCTCCACACAGTGATGTTTGTAAAACACGTGTTAAATGTTCATAAAAAATCGCATTTAAATTATTATCATCAAGACCACAATGAAATTCATTAATTTGCGCCTGTAATTGAACATTTGTATTATCAATACGTTTTGTATTATAATTTTTTTCCCAAAATTTTATCGGACGAGGATAAGATGATATAAATGCAGCACTACCTAATAATGGCATTAATGGAGAATTTAATAAAGCTGATATTAAACACTGAACGACAAGAATAGCTGAATCTAAATTAAAACAAAAAAATATTAATCTTTAATTATTAGACAATAAATATTTATTATTTACGTGGTATACAAAATGGTTGAGCAATAGCATGAAATGCTGAACCCCATGATATTTGCCATGGAGCACAATAAACAAAAATAAAATTTAATTTTTCCTTAAAATTAATTAGCTAAAACAAAACAAAAATGTTAAGGAAATTCATTTTAAAAATGTCTTTGTGTTTTTTTTTCAGAGCTACTTTTTCAGTTAATGTTGATAAAATAAAATAATTCAGTAGAAATGTTTCCGAACACTTTGACGTCATTTTATAAGTCATTATTGTTGTTAATAGTACATATAGAAAATGTCTTGAAGAATTACAATAACCAATACGAAGCATTTTCATTGAGCATAATGTTAAAATAAATATTGATGGTCTAAATAAGACAAATCGTTTAGAAAAAGGAAATATACTTACGGCAAGCCGAAACTATCAAGATTCATATTATATCTAAGTACAGAAAGTTTGAGACAAAAAAATTTGGTCCACGGGTATATGTAATACTGAGAGTGCTCTACGTGTTTGTATTATAGCAATATTAGTCAAGTGATACTATCATTCCTTTCTTTTGCTTCGTGAAGTATAGTCGCATTTTTCGTTTTGATATCGTTACATTCCTTGTGTATCTGCCTCTCTAAGTCGATAAGAGAGGAATGATGGCAGAGGTAATTAATAATGATCCTAATAATGATCATCTTTCCGGAAACGAATATGAAATACTGGAACAAGGTTCTATATCAAATGTTCAGATGGGACTTATATCAAGGTTTCTATCGGAATGTCCGGAAGCTGCTTTAAGTGTACACAAGTTCCTGCAGACAAATTATTCTAAGTCAAATCAGCAACAACAAATCGTGCAACCAGTGAATTCTACTCCTAAGCGTGGACATCCTCTCGATGAAAGTGGAGGCTCGATCAACAATGGAAGAGGTCGTCGTAGATATCCTCGAAAAGGCATTGACAACAATGCACAAAAGCATTCGCATAATGTACACCAAGAAATTAATTTACAACCACAGCAACCATCGTCTCCAATGTTGTCAGGTGAAAGACAACATCAAGAGATAAATCATGCTACTAAGAATCGTAAACGAATTTCTTTTAATCAACTGAAGCACGCGGTATCTTCTAATCTACCATGTTTTTTTAATGAATTCACCTCGGATGCTGATCGTAATAGTATTCCAACAGCTCTTCATGCGAGTGATCTTATACTTAAAGAATTGTAATCGAAGGGTGTTTTAAGTAATAGGTTTACATTAGTAGGATGGGCAGGAAAAAAGCTAAAGTTAGGTGTTAATAATAAAGAAGATTACGCCACTCTCGTCGGATCGGATAAATGGCCAACAAAGATAAATGGAATTGACATGGTCGTCGTGAAACCAAAATATATACCTGATTCATTTGCTCTCGTCGTTCGATATGTTCCTAGGGCACTAGATGAAAATTTTGTTTCAAATGAAATACAACGAACAATTGCCTCTGCAGATCGAATTAAGGGTATTCACTATTCCTACCAAAGAAGAACAGATGATTATCGATTTGGTGTAAAAGATTATAGTGAATATAATGCTGTGTTGCAACTGGGTAGAATTGTAATAGGTCATTCGTGGTTATCGATCACCAAGTTTTATCCTGGAAACCGTCTAACTTACTGCACGAAATGTTGGTGTATAGGGCATTTAAGAAATAAAGGCAATTCAGAAAACAAATGTCGAATTTGTCTTGAGAATTTGAGCGTGGATACTCCGCGTATGTGTAAAAATGAATCAAAATGTGCTCAATGTGATGGAAATCATCATTCATTAGATAGTCAATGTCAAGTTTTAAAAGAATATAAAGACCAATTAAAAGAAGATGTCGAAGATGCGATACAAAAAGGATTATTACAGCGATTCTCACCGCAAGAAAAATCGCCTACATTCCAACTTCATGATCAAGATTTTCCACCATTAGCTGCAAGTGATAATTATTCTAATAAAAAATGGAATATTGCTCAACCACGTAGAACTGTCGAGTCGAATATTTTACGCGCATCACATACAGATAAAACAATTGAATCTATCAATGATAATCTGACAAAGCTTATCGATAGTAACAAATGACTAGAAAATAAAGTTGATCTACTATTATCAAGCATGAAAACCGTTACTCTCGACACTCAGCTACATCAAGCAGTCTTAGTAGATGCCATCAACATTATGAAAGATTTTATTCAATATTTTATACCAGCATCGTTAACTACTGGCAAAATTGAAAGATTATCGTTGGTACCTAAGGCTAACGAATACTACAATCGCTTTCAGCTCGTGTCCTCAAGATTAATAAATGTCTTCCAATTAAATCACCAGGTTCAATTGATTCCAACTTCGCATAATNTCTTTCATCCAGAATATTTGTAATAGCACTAGTACTGCTTCAAATGCCTTCCAACTTCGCATAATAATAACATCGTTCAAACGGATCAACAGTCTTCGTCAGTATATAAATCATCACATAATGCTAAGTAGAACATCAAATCTTAATGTACACGCTAAAGTGTTCTTTCCAGCTTCAGAGAATTATTTATTTAATCCTAGAGATGAAGCTATGCACCGGCTGAAAACTTGGAATTTTCCATCTAAAGATCAGAAATTAGTAGTATCTCTGTTAGATGAATGGTACACAGGTAGAACCTTGAATACCGTCTTAGAACAGTGGGAAAATGTTGGAATAGCTTCTTTACAAAACTAAAAAGAATATATAAAGATTCTATGCCATAATGTCGAAGGATGGGGTACTCGTGCAATTGAAGCTATTGATTTAGTGTATAAAGTTCAAGCTTCTATTTGTATATTTACAAAAGTAGGAGAGTTATGGAACACATGTCGATTACCACATTTTAACACGTTCTATCAAAAGGGTACTAACAAGAATGGAGGAGTGTGTATAGCAGTATGGAAGCATCTGAAAGCGACGCGCATCGAGGTTAACATTCCGAACATGGTTGTTATCGACATAACAGGTCTATCAGAACCAGTACGTATAATTGGTATTTACTGGCCCACTAGTCAGCAGCGTGATCTAGATGAAATTCAGCCTTATGTAATAGAAGGTACCATACTATCAGGTGACTTTAATGCAACGGTGAAGGAATGGAATAGTCCATTAGCTGATAGGAGAGGTGCGTACGTGAGAGAATGGATTAATGAAAACAATCTCAATTATATTACATCAACGACCAACACGGCTAAGCGCTCTCTACGTAATATAGATTTGTCGTTCTCTAATATGAGTACTATTTCAAGTGAAACATTATGTTTTGGCACTAGTGATCATTGGCCGATTTTGCTATCATGCGAGAACATTTTTTTCGATACAAACAGTTTTTTTCCTCATACAAATTGGAAGGCATTTGAAGCAGTACTAGTGCTATTACAAATATTCTGGAGGGAAGAA